TTGGTTGAAACATCTGACTGGTCTGCATCCACTCATTGCCAAGCAGTTTAACAACATACTGTAAGGAGGTGAAATTGAAGGTTGGTTAACCTCTAGCAATACAACAAGAATGAAAGATCCAGCAAAAGGGGCAGCACCAGGCAACTACAGCCCAATTACCTGCTTGCCAGCAATGTTCAAATTATTAACTGGTGTGGTAGCTGATGCAGTCCAACAACATCTAGTTGAAAACAAACTCTTTCCATTTGAGCAGAAAGGAAACCGCCCAAATAGCAGAGGAACAAAAGATAGCTCCTAATTAACAAGATGATTTTGGAAAACTGCGAGAGAAGGAAGACCACCTTGAATGTAGCTTGGATTGGTTACAAAAAAGCATTTGACTTCCTGACACATCATTGGATAATCAAGTGCCTAGAAAAAACAGGAATCAGAAGAAATGCCAGAAGCTTTGTGCAAAGATCAATGGCAAAATGGAAGACACATGGCTGGTCAATGGTGATAGACTGGGACAGATTAATATCAAGAGAGGAAACTTTCAAGGAGACTCACTATAACCACTACTGTTTGTCACTGCATTGATTCCTCTGTCAACAATACTGAATAAGTCAGGCCATGGTTATCAAGCATCCAAAACATCTGCCAAGCTATCCCACCTCCTTTACATTGACAATCTGAAGCTGTATGGAAAAGCACCTTCTGAAATAGAATCGCTGCTCAACACTGTCCAAATATACAGCCAAGATATTGCAATGGAGCTTGGATTGGACAAATGTGCCACCCTGACCATCAACAGGGGAAAAATAGTGAAAACTGAAGGAATCAAGATGCCCAATGGAAATAACATCAAGAGTCTGAATAAAGAAGGTCACTACAAATACCTAGGCATCCTTCAAGCTGACAGCATCAAGCACATTGAAGTCAAGAAGAAGGTTAGTAGTCAATAGATCATGAGAGTGAAGAATATCTTAAAATCCATACTCAGTGGAGGAAATACCATCAAGGCAATTAACACGTGGGCAATTCCAGTCATTAGACACATAGCTGGAATAGTGGACTGGACTCAAGCAGAACTAGCAGCCCTGGATAGGAAGACCAGAAAAATAATGACAATGAATCATGACCTTCATCCACACAGTGATGTTGACAGACTCTACTTACCAAGAAGCGTAGTGGACATGGAAGGTTGCAAGTACACCAGACAGTTGA